TGGTTCTCCTAAACTTGGTTGTTGACATTGACATATGTGGTTGCTGGGAGTCATTCTGCATAATCCACATCAACTTTGCAATTTGGAACCACTACTTTCTAGTGTGCGCTAATTTGGATGCATGGATCTCGCAATCTAAGAAAAGAGGGGTTACTATGGAAATGAATTATACAAATAATATTACAGGGAGGGAAATGTTTACCTGGTAAGATGATATGTAAGACCATTTTGTGGTATACATTTTCATATAAACTAATAGCATGCTAAATGCAATTAATTATTCTCTTCTGTTTGTTAAAATAGGACTTCGAGAACCTTTTGGCAACTCTCTGGTTAGGAAATGTTACTGTGGGCATCTGGATGTGATACAACCTTGTTTCTTTAACTGTATTCTATGAATTTAAAACTTCCTACTAATGCAGATAGGCGTTTCTTCCCCAATTAGTCTAAATTCATGAGCTCTTGTAATCGCTGCCATTAGAAACCAAACTGGAAAATATGCTTGTTCATCAAATATTTATTGACTTCTTGCTCAGTACGGGACACTGTGGTCAGTGCTCTGAGGGAGACCAGATTAATGAAGACCTTTGAAGTGGTCTACAATCTGGCAGAGGAGATTCAAGATCACACCTACCTCGGGGATATCGCGTCCCCTGCATCCCTCCCGAGGGGAGACCGCCTGCTCGCCCACGTTCACATGCCATGTACTGGGGAGCCTGGGGGATACTCCCCCCGACCCCTGACCCTTAGTTCTACTTCCCAGTCATCACCCTTCCTCTGCACAGCTGGGGCTGGGGTAGACCCTGTCCATCAAGGCTCTTATCACAGCTACGCGCCTTCCTCTCTCTCTCAAGTCCTGCTGGCATCTTGAGTGGCTTCACTGTGCCCATGAAAGATCCGCCTGGCCTTCCAGCCACATCATGCCCGGCCCTCATCCACAGTGACCACACCTTAGCGCTCTCCTACAGAGCTCCGCTGCTGATGCTTTCTACTCCAGCCTGACACTCTCAATTGCCCTTACTCTGTCACCTCCTTGCCAACCCCAATGCTAGGCCATTCCCCGATCCCCAGAGATTTCTCCAAGTGTGTGAGCCTCTTTCTGGCTTTACTTCCTTCCCAGATTCGTGTAGGGAGGCAGGGAGCGAAGAAAGCAGAGGTAATTAATTGCAGCTGACCTCTTCCAGCGCTTTGTATCCTTGTCCTTCTGCCAGAACTGTCCAGCAGAGTCCTACCCTGGGCCGGTCCTGCCATCTGGTGGTACCACACCCAGCTCGGAGCTGCGAGGTGCCACGGGATCGTGGCCTGCTCTTGTGCTTGGTGTCCTGACATCCTCAGTCGGCTGCCTTCCTATTCTTCTTATCAGGGGCAATTCCGGACCTTCCCCACGCTCTCCGTACCCCTCACTGTGGAGCCACTGAGTCTCGGGAGCGATTGGCCCAGCCTGTGCCACTTCTAAATCTACCCCATTCCCCATCCCGTCCGGGCTCAGAGGGGGCATCTTCTTCCTGTTCAAGGACAGCCTCCACTTCTGGACCCCACCACCTCAGCCGTGGTTCCCGTGACTGCCTCCTGCCTTCCCCAGAATCCTGGCTGCTTCCCTCAGCCTGTAAACCAGGCCCGTGTCTCCCCAGCCTGCAGCCCCCCCCCCCCCCCCCCGCAGCTTCCCCTCCAACCCCTCATCTCTTCCTTCCCCCACGGAACCCGGGTTTTTCTGGAATGCCATCTGTGGCCACCCTGCCGCTCCCTCGAGGGCCTCCCGTGACACTGCGAGAACCGCCCTGCCCGACCCTCTCTTGCACTTCAGACAGTTGTCTGGTGTCCTCTTTAGCACCACTCGCCCTTCTTTACGAGACCTCACTTCCGGTTCCCCCGACTTGGCCCTCAGAAGCCAAGCTTGTGCATTCATCTCCTTCCAGCTGGGGTTCCCTCTGGCCCTGTACTCGGCCCACCCAGTGCTGTTCCGTTGCTGTGTTCTCGCTGGCCGACGTTCTTTCTTGTTGCCTCAATCACCACATAGAAATATGTGCCTCCCGGGGCGCCTGGGTGGCTCAGTTGGCTGAGTGTCCGACTTCAGCTCAGGTCATGATCTCATGGTCTGTGGGTTTGAGCCCCGTGTCAGGCTCTGTGCTGACAGCTCGGAGCCTGGAGCCTGCTTCGGATTCTGTGTCTCCCTCTCTCTCTGCCCCTCCCCAGCTCATGCTGTCTCAAAATGAATAAAAAAATTAAAAAAGAAAAAGAATCATGTGCCTCCCAGGCCCGTATCTTCTGCCTGGACCCCTTCCCCGAATCCTGTCCCCCCCATGGGTGCTCCGCCAACACCCCAAATCAGCATGGCCCAAACCAAACCCAGTCCAGCCTGCCTTGTCCCTCAGACATTCCCTTGCTCCCATATTTACCAGGTCATAGGATTCCCCAGAAATGCCAGTTCTAGATACCATTCCAGTCACCTGCCGCCTTCACTCTCGCTGCCCTTACACAGAGGACAGCAGTGGCTTCCTGCGGGGAGCCCCTGCCTGCTTCCACTCCCAGACCTAGACCCCCCACCGCCCCACTTCACCACGTCCTCCATGACTGGATGGGCTACCCTTGTGTATGGGCTTCTTCCTCTTTCAAATGATTTCCCGATGCTAAGTTCCTAGGAGCAAGATTCTCAGGTATCAAGCCCCTCTTTCTGTATTGACCACCTCACTTCCCAGAAGGGTTCTGCCATTTATGCCAACGGCAATGTTTGAATGTGCCGGGTCCCCACCATTTTAGCAGTGTTATTAGCTTAACATTCATTGTGTTTCTAATTTAGTAGAGACAAAGTGTGTTTTGCAGTTCTTTGGTTTATATGTTTTCTGAACATCTTTCCTAGATATGCTTTGTTCATCTGTAGAGACTTTTGAAGTTGCTCCTTTATTTGAACGAACTCTTTTGGGGCAGGGGGTAGATATTGAACCTTTTTGGTCGTATTTAGCACAACAAGCTTTTCTCGTTCTAAGGAAATGTTTCTTTTTCATTCAATAGAAATGTTACAGTTTTGGGGCATCAGGGTGGCTCAGTCAGTTGAGCATCTGACTTGGGCTCAGGTCATGATCTCATAGTTCATGAGTTTGAGCCCCGTGTCGGGCTCTGTGCTGACAGCTCGGAGCCTGGAGCCTGCCTCGGATTCTATGTCTCCCTCTCTCTGCCCCTCCCCTGCTCGCACTCTCTCTCTCTCTCAAAAATAAATAAACTTAAAAAAAATAGCTTTATATAACTGAA